CGAGGGCGCGGTTTGCGTCGACAGCGGTTTGCTTCTGTGCGTTTTGCTGGGTCAAGAAAGAAAGGATTCGGACGAACACTGCAACGCCCTGATACTCGTGATGCTGGATTGTGAACGAGCTACTCCTAGTGGTCCCAAGGGTAAAGCCACTTCTGATTCATCCGTAAGCGTGCTCAGATGCATCGGTAAGGCAAGCTCTTCGGGATTGAGTTTGTGAGCTTGCAAGGGTTCTTCACAACGGGACTTGATGAGAGGGTTCCGTTGGGGGCTGGAGCGACGGCCAGCTTCACCTTTGAAGGAGATGGGCTTCCATGCCTTTGCAGGGCTTGCAGCTCCCTTGCTACTCGGTATCGCAATCGAGGTTACCACGACCGAGAAGGATATGAGGAAGTCCATCGAGGAAATTGAAAACAAGATCCAGGAGCCGAGCACACAAGCAGAGCTTCGGGTCGATGGCCCATAAAGTGTTTGTGCCGCAACGAGCTGAAGCCGGGATCCCTGATCTTTCGGGGGTCATGCTCTTCCTTATGGGCATCACGGCCAGGACGGCAACAAGAAGCCGCTGACCGATGAGGAGATGTGGGAGCTCGAGGACTCATGATGAACCGTGCCGCCTGCCCTGAAGAAGTAGTCTGGGCGCGAGTGTCGCAGGACAAGCTCAAGGAGCTGAAGGAGAGCCTGAAGGGCACCGATTGAGGCGTCACTCCAAACCCTGACTTTGAAGGGCAACGATAGAGGAATACTATTCGAGGTACTATGTTAGTAGGAGAGGATGCTCGGCATAATTGTTTCTAACATACGGATCAAAGCCTCATATGCGGCTAATGGCGATCACCATCCGAAAGGCTGGCGAAACGTTTCACCAAAACCACTCATCTTCCTCTGCACCTCTGTTGCCAAGTGTGTCACTCACAGGAGGTTATAGGGGTGGCTTTGAGCGCCTGGGGGCCCGGAAAGCTGCCATTCATTGCAACGCGCAGTCATTTCTCCATGGATGTTTGTTGCTTCAGGCTCGTTCCTTGCGGCGTGTACAAGCTTTTCCCCGGCAGTGGGAGGTGTTTGAGCCCCGTGCTGATGGATGCCCAGGGCCTCCAAAGAGATGCAAAGCTGCATGGAAGCCCTGCTCAAAAGAACAGGTGCCACCGAAGGAAGTGCTGTATGCATGCGCCCCTGCCCTTGCATCCCCGCCCCACACTTGTGCGGTCCAAGCGATGCACCTGAAGGCCAATGCTTCTCGAAGCGTTTGGGCTCGAACCGCACCAAACCGGCTGGGTGAACCGGGCATCTCCAGTCACGAAGTTCGAATCATTGATTATGTTTCAGCCCTCCAGGGATGCCTCTGCCTCACCCGTCTCTTCCACAGCTGCAGCACGAGCTGAGTTAGTTCAAAGCTCCGTGGTGCGCGGTCCTACCCGCCTCATCGCCGGCCGACTGTGTTCCTGGATCCGCGAGGCGGAACTAGCAGTCTGCACCAACATGTTGCTACTTCTCTAGCGATCCCCTCAAGCCTCAACCTGAAAGCTAAGAACCCTGGGAACTGAAGCCCTGCAAAAACCCCAAATCCCTAGATCCCGAATAACCGGACGTTGATGGTAGTCGAGTGTTTTTATTGGAAAAGTGACGACAGGGACTGCAGAGGCTGCAAGAGATGCAGCCAATCCCCGGACCCTTGACGACCCACCAGGCACGGCAAAGGGCCAGGCCACAACAGTGCTTTGTATCATTTTTAAAGGGGTAGGCTGTAGACGCTTACCGCGGTTTTTCCAGGCTTTTGCTCGGTTTTGCTCGGGACTTACTAGGGTTTGGATTGCAGCTGTTCATTTTCCGCACCGTCATGGGTTTTCTTGTCCTTGGGACCCTTCTGCTAGGAGGTAGGGCTCGTGGTTTATGTCACAATACCGAAATTTCTGAAACGCCATGTGGAGGTTTCCCGATGTTGCGGAGCATTAACGCCACTCCTGATCACAAGCTGTTGAGAACTCTAAGCCTTGAGGATAACCCTCAAACCCCAGCACTAGAGCCCTGAATCTTAACCCCACAACAGCTGTTGGGCGAAGCTTCTAGCAGTCTTGAAACCCTTTTCCTTGATGACAGCTTCTAGCACACCTCAAGGAACCATGTATGGCTCTATGTAGAACTCGCATCAGACCTTTGAACCCATCCAGCAAGCTCTTGTACCGTCTTTAAATCCGCGCAAGACCCTTTCGAAAAGAGTCTATGAACACCTGAAAGAGCCCCCGAAGAAGTCCCGCGCACAACCATCAAGACCAAGCCAATCCCCAACCCCAAGCGGCCAAGTGCAGGTCCTCAAGCAAGGGCAGGGCTCTGACCTGGTGCATGGCTTAGTGTGGTCAGGGGGCAAGGAGACCCAAAGCGGTTTCGAGTCTTGGTTTAGGGCTTGGGGTTTCGCTAGGACGGAGGTGTGTCAAGGTTTCGGAAAATAGATAGTGCGTGCTCTGCATTAGAGCCCTCACATTAAGGATCTGGCTTACTTCGAGAGCGAGGGGCTTGTGAGACATGTCCCAACCTTATGGGTTGTGCCATATGTGCTTCTCTTTTGGGTCCCTTAACGGATGTTTGCTTTCTGCTGTGCTCCGCGGCATGGGATCCCACAGGTGGAGCCCCGAAACCTCAAACCTGAGCCCCACAACCAAAAGCCTAAACGGTTTGGGTTTCAGGTTTAGTCTGTGTAGGGTTTTCAGATGTTTTAAGGGTCTAAGATGATAGCTGTTTATGGCTCAACCTGATCCAAAGAAACTACGATGTGAGGTTAAAAGAAGCGCCCCTGCAGGGCGACTTCTAGGCACGTGACTGCGGGGCACTCAGCGCGCCTGGCCGTGCGCTCTGCGCTGGCGGGCTGCTGCTCGGGTAAGTTATACTATGAAGGGAAAGTAGTTCGAGAGAAAGAAGGGATTATTCAGGCGATACTGACGTGTAGGGATGCAGCAATACAAAGGTTGGATGTGGGTTGGGTGCCCTTCCAGCAATGGTAGCACAGCCATTCCTTCAGAAATGTCTGAGTTGCACCCATCAGAGCTTCACATGACTGCATGTGCTTCTCAAAACTTGGCCTGAGCCCGTAGCCTTGAACACAGAATATCTCAAGACTCAAGAGTTTATGTATCTGTATGCACCTACATATACTTTGATGATGTTGTGTCGGACCCGGTCATCCAGATTTGTTTGTGGACCCTCTATCGGAGATTGACTGATCGTCAAACCGAACCTGCAGCAGTCTGGCAATTGTGGCCGTATGACACAGAATTTCGCCGTTATTGGTCCGGCATCCTGTGCCCGGCGTGCTGCGCCGAGTTATGGACGGAAGGCCGGTTGGAAGACCACAGGATGTGTCCGGGCATTGCGCCAGCTCACGAGACGAGTCCAGAACAACCAGTGTACGGCAGCAAGCGGCGCCGAAAGAATGAGCTTGACACCCTACAGTGGAGACAGTGGTAGCGCCGGACATGCTCTTTACAGAAGATGCCGAGGTGTGCGATCTTCGCCATGCCTCCCAACCCTCACCAAATGCAGCAGACCCTGCAGCGGATCACGGAAGAAGTGCACATGCTCCAGCTGGACTATGAGCACATCAAGCCGTGGAGTGATGAATACTGTGAAGCTTGTTGTGTTGAGCCGGAGTCCTTTGGGAAACACGGGGAGGGCCACGGGGAGGAAGAGAAGTTGGTGCAGCACCAGTTGCGTTGCATACTCGGGCGTCGTCTTTACGCAAACCCTGGTTCAGTTTGATTGCAACGCAGCAGTTGCTTGCTCTCGTGAAGACGTGGCCGGAAGCGGTTCTCTGTACTCGCTGGAGAATCGTTGCAAATAATCTCGCGCCTGTACAGGGGTGGACTGCAGGACGCAGCCGTCATCGCCGAAGGTGCCTTTTGGAGCCTGGGCCGAGTTCCTCGTGAGACACAGGCTTGAGTTTGAAGACCCTGAAGCCCAGTGATGCCCAATAGCACCAGCCCTTGGCAGTGACTTTCCTTGCCGTTTAGGGGGACCCATCGTGCAACATTTCAATCTAGGATGCGAACAGCACTAACAGCATGGAAGTACCGATATGTCGGTATGTCAGTATGTATGCAAGTATGTATGTATGTATGTTCGTATGTCTGTCTGTATGTATGTATGTGTACATGTGTATCTGATGTGTGCATCCTGTGGCATGTGTGTTATGCTCGAGCGTTGCCGAAAATAGTCATTTATAGGAACTGCCTGATCATGTGCAAGGTCAAAGGTTGCAATGCTGACTTCATGTGAGCAGCAAGTATAGGGCCTGGGGTTTAGGCTTGAGGGGTTTTGGGGTTTTCAGGGTTTAGGCCTCTTTGGCGGCAAGCATCAAACCCTGTAGAATCCGGCGGCTTCCGTGATGCGGGCCCTGGGTGATTGGCCGTTTGCTAACAGCAAGACAGCTAAAAAACTATACCTCGAGTGTCTTGTAACCCTAACATTAATTCCTTGGTTACTGAGTCCCAACATGCTTGCCTGGTTCTGTTCAGCATGTAAATCGCGAGGCATCGTGTAATGTTGAGCTGTGTTTCGGGTCGTTCGTGCTTTCTTAGAATGACCAGACGACAGCTGTCAGGCGCAACAACGCGGTTGCTGGAGAAATTGAAGGAGGTTGCAATACGGGTGCTTTTCAAAGGGGTAGCACTGGCGTCGGCCAGAAGACTATCAGCTCATGTAAACGATGGCGGTGGAATGTATCTTCGCATATAGGGTCGTGTGCACAGAAATCTTCGCCTGAGCATGTGCTTGTCACACCGTTCAAACGGCTCCAGCCTTTTGCATTTGGCGTTTAGGACAGGCTCCGACTCTGCCCTTTGCGCTTCGTCGGCTGTGTGATGCGTTATACATATGGCGCTTTGTAAAGCTATTACAGAGCATAATGGAAGAGTATTGCACAGTGTTAGTTTACATCTTTTCTCTGTAACTTTGCATGCAGTCAAATCGTTTTATGGCAGGTGCTCCGTTGCCGGGGCCCGGCTTGGTCTGGGATGGCTTCGACGCTTTGGCGCCATCCGGCAGACATGGGAAGGGTCATGACACGGTTCCCACGGTATTCAGAGTCATTTAGAGTTTAGGTTTGTGCTGCTTTCTATGCGCAAGCGGAATTCAAGAACGGTTCTGGCCCCTGCGCGAGTGCGGCAGGTGCACCTAGTCCTGCCAGCTAAGGCACCGAGTTGCTAATGCTGCTTGCTTCTCAGAAAAGCCGTGACATCACCAGTCGAGTATCGCATCCATGAAGCGAAAAAGCTGAGGCGAAGCGGCTCTTTGGCAGCACTCCGGCCATCAGGCAGCGAGTCCAATGGACGGCACAATGCCTCGTGAACGTGACAACTCTCGAAGAATCTGCTCCCACCTGCTGGCTGCAGGCACGATGAAGTCGCAGTGCAACCAGACAACAAGGGCGAAGGCCGCGTGTCAAGCCGAGAGCCAAGCCCCGGATGCCACAACTCGGATGACCGTCCTCAAACCTGTAAGCCCAAAGAGTACCACGCACTAGGCCAGTGTTAGGGCTACACAAAACCTCAAAATTTTCACGTGTATGTCTTGCGCACAAATCATTCTGAGAGTAGATCTCTGAGAAAAGTAGCTGTCCTTGCAGTGTCCTGGGATCCCCTGGTACAGGCCATGCGGAAAGGTTCCCGCGGCCTCGGGTCTGGAACCCAGTCTCCCAGTTCTGGGCAGAAGGCTTCTAAGGTTGCCGGATGAGCATCCGTCATCAGCTCAGGCTGTACCACAACACTTTCGCAAACCTTGCAAAGTGGTCCACGGCCGGCTTTTCATGGATGGCCCGGCGCCCTGAATCCATGGGAGCAAAGCATCGCAAAGGCGCCTCCTGGGATCCAGAAGTTCTCTTGCGAAGGCCAGGGCTCACATTTTCGTCATCGCGGTGAATCGAGACGCAGGCACTGAGATGCTTTGGTACGCTCCGACGCTTGCGGCTGTGTCTCGACTGCTTTCAATGGGTGGGGCTCAGGCCCGTCACCGGTGCAGCCGGCTGTCATCATGCCCAAGTTCTGCTCCGCCCACTGCCTCAGGCCTCGGCTGCGATTTGTGCAGTCTCCCACCTTGCATGCTTCTCATTTGGGGATTTCTACTGCTTCTATTACTACTACTACTACTACTACTGCTACTACTGCTGATGCTTGTCCTGCTGCTGCTACTGCTACTACTGCTGCTGCTAGTAGTGCTACCGCGGGAAACTGCGCTCAGGCTTGGCTGCTGAGATTACCCGAAGTTGGCCGAGAGAATATGGTGTGCTGCAGGGGTGGAGACTGCTGACGGCACCAGTTTGGTGATGTGTCACCCTGGCACCAGCAGGCCCAAATGCAAGCCTCAAAGTCCGCGGACGGCCGTCCAGTGAAACTGATCGTGGCTGTCCGGTTTCACAAGTGACTGATCCGGAACGTGATTGACACATGGCCCGGCACGGTTGGGTGAGTGGTGCTCCTACTGGAGTTTGCAAGTTTGGCTGTACTACATTGCTCGTAAATGATACGATGTCCAGTGGATCAGTAACACATGCTTACAGGAAGCGGCACTGTGATGCAGAATTGCTGTAGATAGTGTAGAAGGCGGTAGGAAGCGCTTACCATCAACCCTAAACCCATCTTGCATGAACCAATTAAGCTGTAGTGTCTGGGTGATTGCCCCGAGACAGCTTCATTCTCTCGTTTGGCCTTTGCTGAGCGGCTTGCTAGGGCGATGCCGCCGAAAGGGCGAATGTTTTCGCACAAGGCGACGCTAGTGCTTCGGACTTCATTGTTGCAGAGTGTGTCTCAAGTTGGTTCCGGAACTATTGTTTATGGCGCAGCCTCAATCATTGGTTGTCCCATGCCTTCAGGACCAAACCTCCGACCGATAGGTCCCCCACACGAACCGTTTCATCGTCGGGCGCAGCCTCGAGGGTCACTCCATGTGTCTCCTTTGCTGTAAAGACTGTAACAGTACATGACATGTGTGATCAGTCGCGACCCCTCCACATAGGGTTGGGCGAAAGGCTCCGACGCCTTTCAACGCACGAGTCAGTAAGGTCTTGAACCTGCTGAAACTGGCGGGTCTTGCAGAGTACTTCAGAGAGTACTTCAGTTAGTGCCATGTGGACGATGCTGTGCAGTTCGTTACTTGGCACCGGAAACACTCGGAGAAGTCGAGCAGGTGAAGACATAAAACTTTCAGCGTCGCGTCCATCAATGCTGTCACCATCATCACCAGAGCAGCATCATCACGATCACCTCTGATCACTGATGCTCGTCATCATCGCCGACAGCTAGTACCAGTTTTACTGCAATCACGACACCTGTCCTCAACTCAATCATCATCATCATCATCTTGACTAGCATTCTCGCAGCACCATAATAACAACTGCAACACATCACATGTCACCAAGAGACTCACCTCTATCGTCACCAGCATTGTTGTTCTTACCAACAACCAGAAGAACAACAGCAAGACGAACAGCAACAATCAGCAACACAACCACCGACATCAACAACAGCAGCAGAAACAATACCAGCAATAACAACATCAATGATACGAGCAACAGCAGCTCCAGCAGCAAAACACAGCAACAACAACAGCAACAGCAAAAATAGCAGCAGCAACAGCAACAACAGCGACAAAAGGAGCAACAACATCCACAGCAGAAACAACATCACACCAACACCATCACCAACAACAACAACAGCAACAACAACCGAGAACAACCAACAACAACCAACAAACCACAACCCACAGCAACCAATAAGAACCAACAACAACGACAAATGCAGCAGCAGCAACAATAACAACACCACCACCAACAACAACAAGAATTAGAACAAGAACAACAAATATCAATAACGACACCACCACCACCACCACCACCACCAGCACCACCACCAGCACCACCACCAGCACCACCACCACCAACAGCAACAGCCACAGCGACAGCGACAGCGACAGCGACAGCGACAGCGACAGCCACAGCGACAGCAACAGCAACAGCAACAGCAACAGCAACAGTAACAGTAACAGCAACAACAACAACAATCACAACAAGTGATTGCTTGCCAGGTGTCACCTTTTGCAAATGTCGCCTTCTTTATGTGTTGTAGACCCGAGCGACCGAGAGCTTAGGCTCGATCTTCTCTTGCGATGTGATTCTGATTGAAGAGACGGTTAAGGGTCTCCAGCGGCTGCGAATCATCGGCTTCACTCGAGCTGTGAAGAGTCTGCCTGGGCTGTGCAAAGGGCTTCACGAGAGCATGCGCCTGAACTCTGGTGTTCGCTGGGACACAGGCATGTGACACCACGGAGGCTCGAAGTCTAGAGCGCGAAAGACCCGCCGTCAGCACTTGAGCGGCTTGGGTACAGATCCAAGCCGAAGATCAAAACATGTTCCTTCATTAGCAGCCAGAGTCTCGAGAAGCTAAATCCAAGCCCCATGCACCCTGTGGGAAAGCGGAGAGGAGAGGAGCACGCAGCCGTGAGCAAGAGCGGATCCTTTAGCGGCTGGAGGGCGCCATGGAGCACAGCTCGCCCCCCGCAGCACTCCACGAGGCCCCGGGCTCAACATTATACGACCAGTCTCTCCCGAAGAGCTCCAGCCTCAGGTGACCGAGTTGAGAGAGCACTGCCAGGGCGGCGCTGAGGCTCTCTCCTGGAGGGGGGCGTTTGGGCTTGTTGGGTTCGGAGATACTGAGTGCGAAGGGATTGAAGATTTGAAGATGTGCAGCCCGCTCTGACATGGCTGTCCCCGTCTCGCCACCACGGCGCATGCTCCCCCGGCATCCGTTTTGCATTCTTTTTGTTTCGGGAGCTGGCTCCAGCTGCTATTTCTGAAGTGCGGCAGCTTGAAGATCTGCTTATCGGCATACATTCGCTTGGCGACTGGCAGGGCTTGATCGCCGGATCGGCTAGCAACTCAGTCAGTTGCATCCTGCCGGATTCGGAGAGCAAAGCATTCTTCGAGGCCCTTTCTGCATTCTTGATTCTTAGTAAGAGCCATGATCGTTATCAATGTGCTTTTGTTCCTCAACACCATGCAACATCATCACCGTTGTTTCGTGCGTTGCTAGAGCTGTTGAATGGCCAATATCAAGACATAAAAGCGCGACAAAATCGGAGGGACTTCTCCAGGTTGGCAGGAAAGAGGGGTCGACTTCGCGGGATCATGAAATAGTAATGGTCTATTTCGTATCGAAAAAGCTGCAGTTAGCAAAAGATGCGGAACTCAGCAATGCTGGCAGTATCGGAGCCAAAATAGGGAAAGTTAGCAGTACGTATGAAGTGGTATTCGGGAGGACCTTAAGGACATGTAGCAGTGGCAGTGTCAATCACTTTAATGCACGGCTATTCAGATATTCGGACCTTCGTTTTTGCTTTTAACCTTGACCAGTGTGGATGGATGCACGGTCACAGGAGTGGCTGCAGGGGATTCAAAGTTCAGGGGAGTAGTCACCAAACTGAGAACCCGAACTCGACATCGAGGGTAGCAGGCAGATTCTAAGACATGGGGCCAAACTGAAAGGCCTGGCGCGCGGGGCCGCGAGGCGGTGCTCAGGCCATCCCTTGTTGTTAGGTGGACTTTGCGTTTGAGGGTTGAGGGATGGGCTTTTGAAGGTGTCAGCTGTTTCTTGCTTCGTGGGTTGTTCCAGGCTTAGAGATGAGGGTTCACGGGCGCCTCGGTTCCTGGCATATGCATAGTCCAAGTGTAATAAGGGTATGTCTGCTTTCTCTTTGGTGGACGGCTTTGGTGTCCCGTTTGTTTAAGGTCTGGATTGCTTTACAAGTTGCCTGCTTTATGTTTACATGATTCTGCTTTCTAAAGGTCATGAGTTCGTGCTCCTTCTTTGACGCCGACCCCATCTCCCCAAACAGCATGGGAACTTGGCATCTAGCCTAGCGTGGCACCGGTTGCCGAAGGAGATTTCGTGGTTCAGACCCAGACTTCTAAATTGCGCCACTGCCGCTGCTAGGTAATCTTTAATGCTCTTCAGGATATGTTTGAAGCTCTTGAAAGCTTTGAAAGAGACGGTGAATATGAACCCTTGAGGCTGGTCTCTTTAGTTCAATCTTCACAAACTGCAGGCGCTTCTGCTGAGTGGTCCGAGAAACACGAACCAACCGCTGCCAGTTTGGGGCCACAGGCGCAGCCTGGTGTACGGCAAGATGATTTCCGAGCACATGCTTCTGGACGACGCTCCATTCGAGGTGCGCAAGGAGCAGGGGGACTGCGTTCTAATTGTTATGGTCGCACTCTCTGAAACGAGCAGAAGCCGTCGACAGCTGCAGAACACACCGGAGTAGAGCAAAGATGAGGGCAGTATGGGGTGTGCACGATATGTGCCGGGCAGAGTTGACAGAGCTCGAGTCCGGAGCAGAGCACTGGGAGTCTTATTCGCCATGAATGATAAACCTGGTTGCCTGCAGAAAAGTCTTTCTCGTCCGCAGCCGTATACCCTGTCAATCGCACGCTCCCGAAAGAGACATGGGCAGCATCTGGAGCGACGAGGAGCCCGCGGCTGAGATCATTTGTCGGTTGCGCCTTGTCAACAGCCTCTGTCAGCCCCTGCAAGGCCCCCTAGGGTCTCAAAAAGTCTCTGGACCTTTTACAGGTTGGAAACCATAGCGCTCTCGACTTCGAACCGCCAACATGGCACCCCGAAGAACCCAAATATCCGCATCCCAAAAATCCCAGATGAGCTTTTGCTTTCACGAGTCATTAGCGCTCAATGTCCCAGCTGTCAGAAAACCTTACAGAGAAGGGTCCTGATGTGGCAAAGCCACAAACTTCTTGATTGCTCCAAGGCAAAGGAACAATCCTGACCCACCCATCCATCCGCGGAACGACGTACTGATTAACTGCCTGAATGGATGAGCAACTGGATCCAAACCCTAAAGACAGTGAGGCCCACGAAGCCTTGAACGTGCGCACCCCTCGGAACCTTCATAGCACTCGCCTAAACCATCCACTGTGAACTCTTCAGGCCTTCGACCCTGAACCATCCGCACTTCAAAGCTGCCCCCTTGCCCAGGCCGAATGATGGCCCTATCTACGACGCAGAAACGCCATCCAGGTTTAATCGGGGGTTTGATGAGCGCGCCTGAGCCGTGCGCCAGGCGCTGGCAGGCTGCTGCTTAGGTAGTTCCGAAGGGCTGTTTGACGCTAGCGAGGGTTTTTGGGTAGGGACCTGTGGAAAGCTTAGAACCCCGCAGCAACCAAGCCCTTCCACCTTATGAATG